GGAGCCTGCACCACCACTACCGTAGGTAGGACGTGTGAGAAGGGAGGATAGGGAGGTCCTCCTCCTGCTCCTCCTCGTCCTCCTCCTTCCTCCTCCTCTCCTCCTCCTCCTGCCTCTGCTCCTCCCCTCCTCCTCCCCCTCGTCTTCCTCCCTCTCCTCCTCCTCCCCCTCTCACCCTCCTCCTCCTCCCCCTCCTCCTCCTCCTCTCCTCCCTCCTCCTCCCCTCCCTCCTCCTCCTTTTTCTCCTCCTCCTCCCCCTCCTCCCTCTTCTGCCCATGGCAGTGGTGGTGGAACATCGGCCCGTCAGCTCCAGCGTGCAGGCTGCACGCTGGTGCCCCATGCTGTGGAGCACGGCCTCCTCTAGAAGGAGAAAAAAGGGCATACGTAAACATAAACTTTCGACGGTCCGCGCGGACTTCTTGGATCTGCGCTAGACCCCCTCCCTGGCGCGCGGAGCGCGCCAGGGGCGGCGCCGGAGGCGCCGCTGGGGGGCCCCAGCGCAGACCCAAAAGTCCGCGCGGAGCGTCGAAAGTTTCTGTTTGTGCCGCGCCCCGGCAGCGCCTGCCGGGGTACGGAAATTGCTGGCCCGGCCGGAGCGCGCCATGGCTCTGGCAGGGCCTGCCGGGGCACGGCCTCCTCCACGGCCCAGGGGGAGAAACCGCCGTCTGTGTTAGGCTGTGCCGTGTGCTGCGAGACGCCGTGCTGGGCAGTCCATGCGATGTTCCTGAAAATTCGCCACGGTGCTCAGCATCGCCATCATCACCGCCATCGGGCCTCGCTACAGCACTTCCCAAACGAATATACAAACGGCACATGAAATTCGTACCTTGCAGCCCGCGCCAAATGCATGTTCAATACCCCCCAGGGCCGCAATTGAGCGTGCTCACACGGGTAGAACCTAGCGGTGGGGTGGCGGACAGGGTGGAGATCGAGACCTGCTGGGGGACGTCACATTGCACGGGAGGAAGAGGAGGAAGGGGACCAAAGCAGACTCAAAAAACATCAACGATGCTCCTACACATCCTCCTGTCCCAAGTGCCCTCCTCAAAAGCCCCTACATGACTGGGACCGGCCCATTGAAAATCAAGCTCCCCATGGGCGTGCCATGCAAGCGGGGGTCCAATTTTGAAACGCAACTGCCCTGTACCAACCTTGACACTTTATGACATACGTAAGTGTCAGAACATCAAATCCAAATATCTGCCTATCGAGAACCCCATTTTGAAAGTGAGCCGCCCTCCATCCGTGATAATGTTGTTTCACGGCTTGACGCTTCGGAGCATGAAACCTTCAAAGTCCCAAATGATCGCCACATGTTGAAAATGAACCGCGCTCAATCCGTGTACTGTTTGGAACATTCGTTTTTTGTTGTTTCACTTATTTGTTTGATCGGATTAGAAAGAAAATGAATGCCTGCGGTGCTGAGGCGAGAGCCACGTTTTGATAACGGCCCGCCCTTCGTCCGTGCACCTATGTTGGAAACGTGTGTGGCACGAATCTGCGCGGCGCTCGGGCGGAAACCACACGTCGACAACGATCTGCCCGCTGGGATTCTCAAGCTTCTCGGCGGCGACGATGAGGGCGAAAAACCCAGGGGCGGGCATTACACGTATTCGCTGGGGAGTCTCGCCGAAGACATGGATCATCGGCGCTCATGGATACATGTATTGGCCCCCCCTGGGCTATTCGCCCCTATCGTCGCCTCCGAGCTTCTGGAATCATCATCCTCTCGGGGACGTCCCGGGCAAAACACCCGGCCCGGCCAACCAACACGCACAGATGTAGAAGGAGGACGCGGCGGAGGACGCGGAGGAGAAGGGATGAGGAGGAGGGGGAGGGCGAGGAGGGCGAGGAACGCAAGGGGCGAGGAGGAGGGAAGAGGACCTCCAGAAGTCTTCAGGTGTTCTCGGAGGTTCTTGAGTGTCTTCGGGGTTGCTCACTCCTTCCCTCCTGACGCGGGGTGACAGGCGCAGGACTAGGGTGAGAGGAGATCTCGCAACACGTCACTACAAACCTCGAGCCAGCATACACGGCCCGGTCCTGCGGCCCTGCAAGAAGCTGGCAGAGCACCCCTTCCACCCCGACGGCCTCGGCAAGCTTCGTTGCTCTCAGCTTCGCCTCGGCGAGCGCTCTCGCCGCGTGCGACTTCGCCTGACGGGAGAGTGGCGAAGCGAAGAAAGGGCAGCACTGGCAGCATCGCCATATCGGTGACCTGATTTGGCTGACCCCTGCTTTGATTTGACTGGGCTCCACCCTCCTTGTTTCGGAAGGGCTCCTCCACTCTCCTTCCCACGACGACTCGCCCGAACTCGTTTCTGGATGGGCTGGTCGGGGCGCACAGAGCGATCATGGGTCCCTCCCGCACGAGCCCGTTCCAACCTTCCCTTGTCGACGTCATGGTTGGCTGCGGCCATCCCTCCGTACCTTGATCCCGCCAGGAGCCCCAGTCCGCCACCTGCTCCCTGTGTCCACCATTGGTGCCTCCCCCCCCTCGGGGCAGATCGGCGAGTACGGGCCACCGTACCAACGGAACGCTCAGGCACAATTTTAGGCCGGGCATGTCCTCCTACAGGCGGATTTTGGAAGGAACATGAAAAAGTCAAAAGGTACGCAAAAATCTTCAAAAATAATCGAAAAATCGTCCCCTGACTACTAATGAAATATTCCTCGTGTAGAAGGATATGCCCAACTCAAATATAGCTGCATACTTCTTAGCTGCTTGGTAGGGACTCAGCCGTCTTCCAGGGCGACCGCCTCCCCCTCGTGGCACCCATGTGCAGCGGAAAATGGACATATGTCAACACTCGGCCTCGAGACCTACCAAGAGGCCTCCAAGACGGCCTGATGGCGTTAGGTCGGGCATGTCCTCCTGGATGTGGATTTGGGATGAAAGAATACGCATTCAAACAGAATCAAAAAAACGTCCCCTGACTATTTCTAACTATTTTTCCATCTTCCTCCTGTAGAGGAACATGCCCGACTTCACGATAGCGTCAAAAGACGGTGCCAAGACCCTTCCAGACAGCCCCTAAAAATCATCGAGTCGTCTGTGCACGCCTCTTGGTGCAAAATCCCAACCCAACCTTCCCTGCTCTGGAGCCGGCCAAGCCCTCGAGAATCCCCCCTTCCTGACTCTCCAGAACCCTTCCACCCCCCCTCCCCGACGAGAACACTACCGCAACCTCTCCCCTCCCCTCGCCGCGTCGTCGTCGACTGCCAGCGCCAGGCGTCGGTCGGGCCGGCGGGCGGGACACGCTGGCGACGTCGTCGTCGTCGTCGTCTTCGTCCTGGTCGTCCTGGTCGTCGTCGTCGTAGTCGTCGTCGTCGTCGTCTTCGTCCTCGTCGTCGTGGTCGTCGACGTCGTCGTCTGCGTCGTCGTCGTCGTCGTCGTCCTCGTCCTCGTCCTCGTCCTCGTTGTCCTCGTTGTCCTTGTCGTCCTCGTCGTCCTCGTCATCCTCGTCGTCATCGTCGTCCTCGTCGTCCTCGTCATCGTCGTCGTCCTTTGCTGGCGAGTCGGCCAGTCGGGCGGGCGGGCGGGACACGTCGTCGTCGTGACCGTCCTGGTCCTCGTCGACATCCTCGTCGTCGTCGTCGTCGCCACCGCCACCGCCGCAGCCGTCGTCGTCGTCGTCGTCGTCCTCGTCGTCCACGTCGTCATCCTCTTCGTCCTCATCGTCCTCGTCCTCGTCATCCTCGTCGTCCTCGTCCTCGTCGTCGTCGTCCTCGTCGTCCTCGTCCTCGTTCTCGTTGTCGTCGTCGGCATCGTCGTCGTCGTTGTCGTGGGCGACTCCGTCGGTCGGGCGGGCGGGCGAGACACGTTGTCGACGTCGTGTACACTTCGTATTCGTCGAGTCGGTCGGGCGGGCGGGAGGGACACGTCGCCGTCGTCGCCATCGCCGTCTGGTCCTCGTCGTCGTCGTCCTTTGCTGGCGAGTCGGCCAGTCGGGCGGGCGGGCGGGACACGTCGTCGTCATGGCCGTCCTGGTCCTCGTCGTCATCCTCGTCGTCGTCGTCGCCACCGCCACCGCCGCAACCGTCGTCGTCGTCGTCGTCGTCGTCCTCGTCGTCCTCGTCGTCCACGTCGTCATCCTCTTCGTCCTCATCGTCCTCGTCCTCCTCGTCGTCCTCGTCCTCGTCGTCCTCGTCGTCCTCGTCGTCCTCGTCGTCCTCGTCCTCGTTCTCGTCGTCGTCGTCGGCATCGTCGTCGTCGTTGTCGTGGCGACTCCGTCGGTCGGGCGGGCGGGCGGGACACGTTGTCGACGTACACTTCATATTCGTCGAGTCGGACGGGCGGGTGGGAGGGACACGTCGTCGTCGTCGCCGTCGCCGTCCGGTCCTCGTCGTCGTCGTATGCCAGCGCAGATGGGGTGGCGCTGGCGACGAGGGGAAGGTGTTTGAACCACCCCCCCGACTTTCACTCTGGAGAGGGGGGAGGGGCTTCGACCCCCTACCCCGCCCCGACTCTTGAGAGGACGGTGAGGGTTTCGAAACTCCTCCGAACCCACGCTTCCCTTCCGGCATACTCAAAAAACGCTCTCTCAAACCACCAGACGTCCCAAGAGATCCTAGGAGAGCGCCCTATTTCCCGAAATGTGGCCTGGAGGCCTCCAAGTTGCGCCCAGAAGGCTTCTGGGAAGCAGGCAACTCCTGAATACAGAAGGAGCTCGACCACAAGAAACCTTCCACATGAAACCCAACCCTGAGACCCCAGGACGTTCATGAAGTTTTGGTGTGGGAACGTCACGGCTTCCATAGCAAAACCATCTAAACCCAAGAAACCCAGGGCACCCTCGAGGCAAGCAAGGCGTTTATTGGCGTGGGCTTCCACTGCAGTCAATATTTCTTGCATCTCTACCGTTCCAGTGTAAGGCGGCTTCGGGCAGGGCTCGGATGACCTTGAAAAGCACTGCCAGGAGTGCCGCGAGAAGCCTCTGCAGGGCGGCTGGAAAAACCAAGTGTTCGCCCACATTCGCGCTTCGGGGCCACACTCCCGAACACTCACTGCTTCGGAGGTTCGCCGTCTGGTTCCCCCCCCCTGGAAGAGCCGCAGTGACGCTCGCCCTGTGGGCTCAAGAAGAATCGTGACTGCGACACTGCTGCAGAGCACTCCTCCTCCTCCTCCTCCTCCTCCTCCTCCTCCTCCTCCTCCTCCTCCTCCTCCTCCTCCTCCCCCTCCCCCTCCCCCTCCTCCCCCTCCTCCTCGTCCTGTCCTTATTCTCCTCCTCCTCCTCCTCCTCCCTCCTCCTCCTCCTCCTCCTCCTCCTCCTCTTCCTCCGCCTCCTCCTCCTCCTCCTCCTCCTCCTCCTCCTCCTCCTCCTGAGGAGCGCGTGACCACTGAATCTCACCAAGACGCAACGAACACGCTAGCGTGAAGCAGAAGATCGCCCAGCAGAATGGAAACGTCACACGAGCCGAGCTGCCCTAAGCGAGCTCATGCAATGAGCTGTGGCCCAGGAGGGAAAGGAGTAGCGAAAGGAGAGAGAGAGAGAGAGAGAAAAAAAAAAAAAAAACCACCCATAGAGTGAGGGGTGACGACGACGATGCGCATAGCGGTGTTGTGGATCCAATCGGGAGCTCCTGCCTGCTGGCCGCGTACGCCTGGATAGCATTGATCCGCCACGCTCCCCAGCTCCGGCACGTCTTCGCTTGCCTGCAGTGCTGCCCAACCTGGCCATCCCCGGTGGCATCCTCGGGGCCTGCACGCGAAGAGCGCACGACGCTGAGCCGCATCGAGGCCGCCGCGGCCCACCCGGCCACGCCACTGCGTGCCGCATCTCTCCCGGCTCGCTCCCCATCCCCTCCCGTGGGGCGCTGCTCGCTCTGCCGTGAGCCAGCTCGGTTCGCCAGCCGCAGCGGACAGTGCCCTTGCCGCAGACCAGAAGAGTACCAGCATACCTGTAACGGCACAGATTCACCCGCACACCCACGCACTGTCCGCCGCCGCGTCCCTGGGCACGCGGTGGAATTGCATGGCAACGCCACCCCCCCTGCGCCACGTGCTGGATTTCCCTAGCTTCTGCGCCCACCCTAATTGGTGCTCCCCTCTGCTTGCATCGCCTCCCCCCATGCCTCCTTCCCGACGTCCTTGTCGGATCCATGAGCGGCCAAGACGGCCCCGAGAGACGCCCGATACATCTGGAAGCTCCACAGAGCACCCTAGGCGTCCCATGGGATCCCACGAGAGGAGGGAGTAAAGGCAGAGGAAGAGGGAGGAGGAGGCCGAGGCCAAGGATGCGGAGGAGGGGGGACAGGAAAGGGAGAAGGAGAGGGAGCGAGGAGTGAAACGGAGAAAGGAGGAGGGAGGAAGGGGAGGAGGACCAGCGCAAACCCAAGACGCATCAACGATGTTGCAATAAACCCTTCCTCCAAGTTCCCTCTTCACAGGTCCCTAAAAAAACATGTTTTCATTGTGGGGAATGGCCCATGCGAAGACAACCGTCTGAGAAACCTCAATCGTGCAAGAAAAACGCAATTCCAGGGACTTCGCCGACGCGGATCAACGTCCTGACAATCCAAAATGGTGCCAGAACACCATTCCTGGGACTTCAGTACCGCGAATCAACATGGCGGTTGCGTCTTGACAATCCTAGATCGCGCCAGGAAACCATTCCTGGGACTTCAACCATACGAATCCTTGAAGCTGCTGCGCAGCGCTAAAACGACAACCACATTAAAAACAAGAAACGCCCGCATACTTGAAACTGATGCTAACCGTCAAGACGAATGCGCGCGACGCTGAAAAGAGTCACATCTAGTAAACGGCTGGCCCTCCTCCGTGACACTGCTGCGAACTTCTGAGACGAAAGTGGTCGGCGCTAAGGCGAGAACCACATTCTGAAAACCACCTGCCCTCCATCTGCGAAGCTGCTGCGACGTTTGACAACGAACTTGCGCAGCTCCAGGAGAGAACCACAGTTTGAAAGCGACCCGCCCTCCATCCGTGACAACATTGCTAACTTTTGAGACACATATGCGCGGCGCTAACGCGAGAGCCATTTCTAAACAAAACAAAAAAACAAAAAACATAAAAACAAAATAAAACTCCATCCGCCAAGCTGTTGCAAGTTTCAAGCTGAAGGAGCATAAATGATGAATAATTCTCAGGCGAAACGCCCAGCCCGCCCTACCGACGCGTCTGGGGGGAGCGACGGGAGGAGATAGTGAGCAGGAAAGGGAGTGGAAGGAGGAGGGAGGAGGGAGGGAGGGGGAGAGAAAAGAGAGGAACAGGAGGAGGAGGAGGACGACGACGACCACAACCACCACCACGACCACGGATGTCAACCACGACAACGGCCACGACCACGACGAAGGCGGCGACTCCGCGTGGCCTCCTCCTCAGGGTCCTGTGATCCCACGGCGCCACCTTCACCGCCGTCCTCGCTCAGGTCCATGACCTCGACGCGGTTACCAGCGCGGGGTCACGGGGGGGGGGGAGGCAGGGGGAGCGAGAGTGGCCATCCTGCTCCTCCACCCTCCTCCTCCCTCATCCTCCCTCCTCCTCCTCGTCCTCCCTCCTCCGCCGCTTGGGCGATCCGAATTAACTAGTACTGCCATTTCGTACGCTTGCCTTCCGTCCTCTCCCAAATGTCTGTTCCACGGAGTCCAGGCGAAAGGCGCGGAGGAGGGAGGAGGGACGAGCAACAACTTTGCTCGTCCCTCCGCCCTCGTCGTGCGACACTCGTCGCTCCTCCCCTCTCCTCCCTCGTCCCTCGTCGCTCGTCCCTCCTCCCTCGTTGACCCTGGGAGGAGGGACGAGCGACGAGGGACGAGGGGGCGAGAGGGCAGCAGCACGCGGGCGGGAACCCGGAGCAGGGAGCACTGGAGCCGGGAGCAGGGAGCAGGGGCTGCGCTCTGGGCCACAGCTCCTCTCGACGATCCTCAGGAGGAGGAGGAGGAGGAGGAGGAGGAGGAGGAGGAGGAGGAGGAGGAGGAGGAGGGAGGAAGAGGAGGAATGTCACAGTCGGACCTGGGACGGAGCGTCCTTCAAGAAGTTGAGACCCTCCGCCGCCCAGACCGGAGAACGTTCGAGGGTACGCCCCCCGCCCAGGGTGCACCAGAGCACGCAACAAAGGCGAAAAACACCCACAACCCTCCTCGAGATCGAGCGCGAGCTTTTCATGTTGGTCCGCGCGACAAACGCGGCCTGCGGGGTCCGATTCTTGTGCTTACAGTCGCCGCGCGGACATGGAAATCTTGGGGTCCTGGGGCGCCGCCACGGCGCGGGAAAAACCTGCGCTTGATTTCGAGGCAGGATGTCGGGTACCCTCCCCGAGCCGACCTCGACCGTCGGGAGCGTTTTTGTCTTCGGCGTTTCGACAGTGGGCGGAAGGGGGGGGGAGGGGGGAGGGGGTCTGGCTCTGGACCTCTGCTGAGTGCGGCTTGCAGCAGTGCGTCCTGTGGGGGCGGCTCCACCTGCCTGAAACAGGCGCCAAAAAACAGCCAAGATCCACTCCATTGGGTGGGGGGGGAGGAGGGGCCCGCGCCGATCGGCAAATTATTTCTTATTTTTATTAGGCAGCATAGAGGACCACTTCAAGAAATATTCACCTGCACGTGATAAGCACGAATACTACACAATGAATAATGAAAAAAACAATGGAAGCAATTCACCTGTACGTGATAAGTACGTATACTACACCAGGCCGATCGGCAAAACGATGAATAAGAAACGATCACATACCTCGGTCCGACCGCAGCGCCGCAGCCCTCCAGCACGGTACAGGCGGTGCCACGACAGACGACACGGGAGGAGGAGGAAGAGGAGGAGGAGGAGGAGGAGGAGGAGAAGGAGGAGGAGGAGGAGGAGGAAGAGGAGGAGAGAGGAGGAGAGAAGGAGGAGGAGAGGAGAGAGGAGGAGAGGAGAGGAGGAGAGAGAGAGGAGGAGGAGGAGGGGGAGGAGGGAGGGAGTAGGGAGGAGGAGGAGGAGGAGGAGGGAGGAGGGAGGGAGGAGGGAGGAGGGAGGCTGCGCGCCGTCGAGGCGCAGCCGGCTGACAGGCTGGAGGCGGCCGGGGGGTCTGAGCTGGGTGGGACCCTCGACGCTGCCGCCGCCGCACCAGTGCGCCCCGCAGCCTCGCCGCCGCCGCAGTCGTCGTCGTCGTCGTCGTCGCCGTCGCCGTCGTCGTCGTCGTCGTCGTCGTCGTCGTCGTCGTCGTCGTCGTCGTCGTCGTCGCCGCCGCCGCCGTCGTCGTCGTCGTCGTCGTCGTCGTCGTCGTCGCCGTCGTCGTCGTCGTCGTCGTCGTCGTCGTCGTCGTCGCCGTCGCCGTCGCCGTCGCCGTCGCCGTCGCCGTCGCCGTCGCCGTCGCCGTCGCCGTCGCCGCCGCCGCCCAGGAAATCGGCGCAGGGATGATGCCAAGGCCGCTCAGAGTCCGTCCCCGGCCTCCTCCCGGGGTCCATCTGGCGCAGCGTTTCGCCCCAGATCCGTCTTTGACGGCGCCGGGCCCCTGGAAGCGGCCCCCTGGAGGCCGACAGGGAGGCAGAGGAAAGCTCCCCCGAAGCCAGAACCTCGGACCTGCCCGCCCTGCCTGTCGGCCGGAACCAATGCTGGGCCACCTCGGGGCCCCCAGACGGCTCCAGCCGACGGGGGCAACGCACACCTTAAGGGCCAGAGCACGTCCTGAGGGTCGTCGGTCTTCGGGCGGCCGCCGGGAGGGTACCCGGCGGAGCGGAGGAGCCTCGCGGCGCGGGCTGGCCACGCCCTCGGGGGCGCCGCTGCTCTGATGGGGTGGCAGAGCGCAGCGGCCCCGGATGCCGACGGGGCACGCGGCGCGCGGGAGGCGCACCATGGGCGACCAGGGAGTCGGCGGCGAGCAAGGTCGGGGATGGAGAGACCTCCCTTGAAAAAAACGTGGTTTAGTGAAAACGACCTCGGGCCCAAACCTGGCGGACGCAAGCCTGGAAAACGACGGCCGCGGCGCCCTCTCGAGAACCGAAAACGAACAATTCACTAATCGACGTGTCAGGGTAGGAGGTCTGTCCACCCCCGACAGGGGGAGGTGAGGAGGAGAAGGCCTTCTCAGAAGGCGGCGGGGCGCCTCAGAAGGCCTCCCTCCCAGATTTTTTCGGGGAGGACTTACGCAAACTTCCCAGAGAGCTGGGGGACTGCCGAGCCTTCTGAGAAGGCCCGCCCCTTCTCGCTTCCCCCCCGGGCTGGCCGCCGAAGGGAGGCCTTGGTGGCCCCACCAAGTGGCCCCAAAGGGACCCTGCGGGAAGACCCCTGGGAGGGCCAGGGACGCCTGCAGGGGCCCAGGGGTCCGTTTCGGAGAGGCTCACTGCCCCTGCCCCCATCTCCCCCACCAACGGATGTTGTCACCGAAGACCGGGGAAGAGGGCGATGGCAGTCCATCCTGTCCTAGCCTCTGCTGGGAGGACTTGGGGCAGGGCGCAGTCAATTATAAGAGCAAAGCTGCAGGATCAGGAGGCAAGTCCCCTGGGCCCAGGCAAGAATGGGCCGTACACAGAAAAGGATGGGCCGAGCACACAAGCATGGGCCGAAGAGGCAAGGATGGCAGGACAGCCTGGATGAATCACGCACTGCATCCTTGCTACCGTGGCTGCCTCCGACAGACCCTGTCGACCGAGCACCTCTGTCAACACCCGACAGGCGGCAGACGGCGGCGGCGCTGGCGCCAGGGGCGGTGGGCAGCGGACTGGGCAGTCCGCTGGCGCTCTTCTGGGCTCCTCCGCCGGGCTTGTCGCCGACGATGCCGAGGCCCTCGGGGGGCGCTGCGGCCGCCGCCGCCGCCGCTCCGGCCCGGCGGTGAGCGGCTCCGGCGGGCGAGGCACCTCCGAGCAGAAGGCGCGGCAGGGCGCCGACCACCCGCGTGCGCACACGGCCGGCTACTGTCGCGTCGACGCGGACGCCGGCTGCCGACACCGCGTAGATCGCTCGGCCTCGAACACCTCCGCTCTGCGAGAGCGGAGGCGGCTCGAGGTGGGCCCGGTGCAGGCTGGCACTGCGCCTGCGTCGCCGCCACGTGGACGCGGCGCGAACCTGCCGCAGGGCACCCCGGCCAGGCCCATCTTGGGCCCAGGGTCGGTGGATACAGTAGGGGCTCGACCACAAGAAACTTTCTACAAGAAACCCAGCCCTGAGACCCCAGGGCGTCCACTGGCTGTTGGTGTGGGCACGTGACGCTTTGCATAGCAGAACCATCGAAACCCAAGAAACCCAGGGCACCCTGGAGGCAAGCAGGGTGTTTCTTGGCACGGGTCTCCACTGTGAATCCAGATTTCCAGCGCGGGCGTCTTTGCACGACGTGCACCCCAGAACTCCCGACCCCATCCCAGGGGCTCATTTGCCGTCGCGGATCGTTGTATGGATGCCCCCGTAGCTTGCAGCAGGCCTCCAGGGACTCGAACTCTGATTGTTGTCAGGACGCCAGAGGCGTGGGTCGGCCCTTTCGGAAAGCATTCCAAAAAGCTCCGCAACGCACCCGAAGGGCGTCCGCAAGGTATTTACAAGGCACCCGCAAGGCACACACAAAGAATTGAGTTGCCCTGCGACGTACCCAACCCTTTCTACACATGTGGCGACGATACACAGGACCGATCACTACAAACGAACATGTTGAAGGACCCGCAGGAGCCCACAAAAATGGCGACAGTTCTCGCAGCCACCCGGGGGAGCCGCGAGGTCTCGACTGAACGTGTTTACATCTGCACTCCGCTGGGTATCCCAGGAGCCTCGAAAGTGGCGACAATGGCGCACTTCGCAGCCACCTGGGGAACCGCGAGGTCTCGACTGGGCGTGTTTACAACTCCACTCCGCGGGGCCTCCCAGGAACCCACGAAAAAAGCGACGGTGGCGCAGTTCGCAGCCACCTCAAAGAGCCGCAAAAACTCGGCTGGGTGCGTTTACAAGTCCAATCCGCTAGGCCTCCCAGGAGCCCACGAAAGTGGCGACATGGCGCACTTTGCAGCCATCTCAGGGTGCCGCGAGGTCTCGGTTGGGCGTGTGTACAACTCCCCTGCGCTGGGCCTCCCAGGAGCCCACGAAAGTGGCGACGGTGGCGCAGCTCGCAACACCCCAGGGAGCCGCGAGGTCTCGACTGGATGTGTTCACACCTCCACTCCGCTAGGCCTCCCATGAGCAAACGAGAGTAGCAACAATGGCGCACTTCGTAGCCACCCAGGGAAGCCGCGAGGTCTCGGCTGGGTGCGTTTATAGCTCCACTCCGCTGGGCCTCCCAGGAACCCACGAAAGTGACGACGGTGGCGCACTTCGCAGCCACCTCAGGAAGCCGCGAGGTCTCGGTTGGGCGTGTGTACTTATTAGATGTATTACTAGTCGTACTATTGTTTTTATGTTTACTACTATTATTATTATTGGTACTGCTCCTCTTATTCTTAATACTAAATAATATAGTACTTATATGATTACAAATAGTATTATGAGTATGAATACTGTTGATAGTATGGTGAGTACTGTTAACACTACTATTAGTGTTCGTCTTCTTCTTGATGTTACTACTATTCGTCATCTTATCGTTATTATGCCTCCTCCTTCTTCTCCTTCTACTCCTCCTCCACCTCATCATCCTCCTCGTCCTCGTCCTCGTCCTCGTTATCCTCCCTCGCATCCTTTCCTTTCCTCTCCCAAGTGTTCCCCCAAGGGGCTCCACACAGGCTGGGGGGAGCCCATCGTCCAATAGCGTGGCCAGACTCCGGCCCAACGTTTGGCCGCGCGGGCGGTTCGAAAAGGCCGGGGGCGGCGGTGGTTCGCCATAGGCGTTCTCGACAACCTCACGCATGGCTCCGACAGGCCCCACGTCCGCCAATGACGGCCTCAAGTGTCCACGAAGCCTCCTCGTCCTCCTCCTCCTCCTCCTCCTCCTCCTCCTCCTCCTCCTCCTTCTCCTCCTCATCCTCCTCCTCCTCATCCTCCTCCTCCTCCTCCTCCTCCTCCTCCTCCTCCTCCTCCTCCTCCTCCTCCTCCTCCTCCTCCTCCTCCTCCTCCTCCTCCTCCTCCTCCTCCTCCTCCTCCTCCTCCTCCTCCTCCTCTCCTCCTCCCCTTCTCTTCCCAAGTTCCGTCCTCGTTACATGGTCTCACTGTCCATCCTCCGTCCCCGCCTCCTCCTGACAGAAATGTACGAAATCCCCCGAACACCCAGTAAGCATCCCACTAAACATTCGGGTATTCTAACATCGTCTCTGTCGTGTTCCTCTTCTTCGCCCTGCCTATACTTGCTTGCGCCTTCTCTCTACAATCGAGCCATACTTCTACTGCTTACTTTCCGGACCCACAGCGCAAATGATCACCAACTTCGGAGAACGTGCCTCAGCGTCCAGGCAGCTCAAGGTTGCCCCAGTTCTCCCATGGGGACTCCACCAAACAGCTGCAAAGGTCCAAAAGAAGTATCAAAGCACTCCAGTAAGCCCAACGGGCCCAAAACGGCCTCATTGCGACCCCACGTCGGCCCATGAAAACCAAGTAACTTCGGCTGCTCCGTGAATCCCCAGACTGCCCAGACGTGGTGCCGCGAAACGCTGCGGATAAAACTCAACGAAGGACCTGAGGGACCCGAGCTCCTTCCGAAAACAGCGGCCCTGATTACAAAAGTCTCCACCCTTCTACAATACATGCATGGGCTGTCCCGGGAAGGTCGGCCAAGCTCCACCATCCTTGGGACGCTGGAACCAGCGTGATCGGGGGGAGCGTGCCGCTATCGGCCTGATCCAGGCACCAGAGGGGCTGGAAACCCTCGAGTTCTTGGTTTTAACACATCGGATCACCAGCAGAGTTACGGTTCATTCTCGCGCGCAGATGCATGCGGCAAGATATACTGTAGAAAAAACGGCCGATACTTCGTCGAGAAATTGGCCGACACAAGCGTAATGATATGATTATCCACTCTTCACGAGTTGATGAATTGTTTCATGCATTCCCTAGCAGCTTCTTCTCAGACTCTTCGCCGACCTTTTCCTGCTCAAAAAGAAGCGACTCGCCGTCTTTACGAATGTCGTCCCTGTCAATCACTATGCCCTCGTTCTTGTCCAGCTTGCAGGTGAGGTTGCGGTCGGCCACGTAGATGCTCTGGAGCAGAAAGCGCTTCCGGACGGAGGCAAAGGGCCGCGTCCGCCCGCAGGGCACCAGCAGCGTCTTCCCGTGGCCGTGCCGGAGGATCTTGAAGGAGTCGTTCGAGATGGGCAGCTCATCCCGCCGGATGCAGTCCAGCAGGCTCGGCCAGCCGAGCGCCCGCACGTCCTCCGAGGGGCGGCAGATGGCGCGGAGCTCCTCCTGCGTCACCCAGACCAGGGGGCCCGGATTCTGGAAGAGGCGCTGCACGACGTCGCTGTTGAGGTCCCCGGTCCACGACGACACCTCGGCATCGTACCGCTCCCGGAGCGCCTGGCTCGCGCCGAGCAGCCCGGTGGTGGCCCTCAAGAAGAGCGTCGCCAGCGCGTACGCCACGACGAGTGCAGTCACGTCGCCCAGCAGCACCGCAACTGCGGCAAAGGCTATGAACATGCCAACGTAGCCCAGCAGCACTGCGTTGTAGACAGCAGGGATGTCGTTGGCACCGTAGCACAATGCTTCCACCTCGGACCTCATCGTCTTTTTGAGCCAACACTCAAACTTCGCATGAGTAGACCGCGAGATTATGCGCAGCCCCTGGTACAGGATCAATAGGAAGACGGTCATAGTGGGCGTGATCAGCAGAGCCTTCCAAGATCTCATGAATGCCTGAGCATCGCAGCCCTTCCCTGCAAGCCCAACCTCACGTGTGTTCTGAAACTCGACCTGATAATCAAATTTCCAGTGATTTGGATTAGTGAAGCTCGTTGCATTATAAATTTCCTCTGCGTTAAAACCACCTTCCTTGAACAGTAGTTCCTCCGGGGCGCATGGATTTTCCATTATAGTAAATCCATAGATGCTGGGCAAAACAAAAGTGAACAGCGTGGCCAATACGACCTTGACCAGGACAAAGAACGGACGGTCCTGGTGCTTCTGGGCGACAGCACAGAAGCCTGGATCCTTGAAACGCCCCACCGCTTGCACTGGAGCCCTGTGCAGAAGAAAGTGCAGGAGGAAGACAGCTTTTACATGGTCCTTCAGGTCGTCGTCCGCCAAGTGGAACTCGTTCATTGAACTCGCCGAAGCCCCACGCGACGATCGCGCTTCCTGTGGCGCGGGAGACGCCTCGACATCAGCCATGCAGGGGCGGGCGCCTTCAGGCCACGTGTCAACCTACACCCTCTGCACCCTCTTGAGCCAAAAGGCTGCTCTTATACATCCTGAGAATGCAAAGCTTAACCTCGCACTGTGTCCCTCAGGTCTGGTGGGTCCCTGGGCCATCGGAGAGTCGGGCATTGCCGAGGGGCACATTTTGGCGGGCCAGCTTCTTGTGATGTGTGCCTTTTCGCTGACGTCGCATTGCCTTTATCTTCGCGCTCTCGAGCACAGTCTCGGAAGAAGCACGCGCCATTGTCATTGCTCCCCGTCGCCCCTGGTAGAGGTCCGAAGAGCGAAGCGCGATTACCCTCCGGGCCCTAGGCAGGACGCAGAGTTCACAAGTGGTGCACGCTTTCGGCCAGTCCCCCCAGGGGCCAGCCGAACTTTTGGACCCGATCCGCAGCGCGGATGCTCGGCGCCCTCTCTCCTCCTTTCTACCTCCGCCTTCTTCCCCCTGCATCCTGCTGCTCCCCCTCTCCGCGTCCCCGTTCTCCCTTCCTCGTAAAGGTGCCCTCCCTGCCGCGAAACCAGCAAGAGGTCGTGAGTCGCTAGGGCGGGCCGAGCGCCTCGACGGAACCCTCCTGACCGCTCACGCACAGGTGGGGGGCGAATCGTTCTCAGAGTGGGGCTCGCGCCTGGGATGAAGGGGCCTTGGGACACACAAATAAATACACACAAATAAAAGGATTCCCCATATTTTCCCATATGTTCTGGGTTTCTGTCTTCCCCCCCATTTCCCATTATTTCAAAGATTTTCTGGGGAATCGAGGATGAATTGTGTCTGTGTGTTTCTTTTCCTCCTGGTAAGAGCCGCGCAATCTCGTTTGCACAAACTCGAACAACTGCACGAGCGGAAGGAGGCCTGTCTTCCACCTGGGGCTTTCGCCTCGGCGCCGCGCAGGCTCGTCGCCTTGACTGAGACATTCCCGGATGTCACACGCATGGCAGAGGAGCCGTTGTCACGAAGGAGCTCTCTCGACTCTGAGCAGCGCACACTCGTCTGAAACCTCCCAAGATAGGGGAACGAAAAGAGGCACAAACATAAAAACCCGGAGGTCCGCGCGGATTTCTCGGATCGGCGCTGGAGCCCCCTCCCTGGCATGCGGAGCGCGCCATGGGCGGCGCCGGAGGCGCCGCCGGGGGGCCCCAGCGCCGATCCGAGAAATCCGCGCGGACCTCCGAGTTTTTCTGTTTATGTCACTTCTTGTTCCCCTATATTTTTATGTTTTCTGTTTATGTTTTTATGTCACTTTATGTCACTTTATGTCACTTTATGTCACTTTTCTGTTTATGTTTTTATGCCACTTTATGTCACTTTTTTGACTCTGAGCAGCGCACACTCGTCCGAAACCTCCCATCAGTTCCACGGATGGAGGGCGGCTCCTGTTTCAAAACGGGGCTCTCGCCTGACACCTCGTCGGCATTTGCTACCAGAGATGCCCCACAGTCGTACCAAAAGCTACCCATGTGGAAGGCAGCTCCATTCCAAACTGGGGGGGGGCTCTCGCTTGCGACGTGGTTAGATTGTGTTGCCGGAAATGTCATCAAGCTATGTGGTGAAAGCTATGTCGTGTAAGCCACGTAAGGTGTGAGCTACGGAAGTGGAAACTAGGCGGTGCAATACATGTGGTGAAAGCTACGTCGTATAAGCTATGCGGTGTGGGCTATGGAGGTGAAAACTATGCGGTATCAGCCATGGTATGAACACTATGTCGTGTAAGCTACGTGGCACGAGCTATGGAGATGGGAGCTATACGGTGCAATACATGTGGTAACGGCTGTGCTGTGTAAGTTGTGCGGTGCGAGCTCGAAGTGACAGCCGTGCAGCGTCAACTATGTTGTGTAACACGTGCGGTGCGAGCTACGTGGTGCAAGCTATGTGACGTAAATTATGAGGTGGCATGCATGTCTGGGGAAACCAAAAGGTACCGATGCCGCTACTCCCCAGACCTCTCCTGGGGTGCGTTCTGACCAGAATGTCGAGGCGAATCCAGCAGTGGTGACGTGGGCATCCCAGGAGGCCCAAACAGGGCGAAAACGGGGCGAGGGCAGCGGCATGGGTACCCTTCTCATCCTCAGGAAAGCTACGCCGTGCAAGCTCAGAGCACGGAGCGCCCACGAGGCGCCCCCACGGGGCGGCCACGGGGCGCAACCTCGGCAAACCCACCCAGGGCCCAACCACGGGCGGCCCCACCGGGCGCCCGCGACACGGCACGGGCGGCAACGCGGCGCCAGCCTCAGCAGAAATCCCCCAAAGGTGCGGGGCGCCCGCGCGGTGCCCACGAGGCGCCCACGGCACGGCACGGGCGGCAACGTGGACGAAGGCAGGACGAGGATCACGTCGGGTGGGGATGAGTCGGGAATCTCCGATATCCAGCGGCTCTGGAGGGATCTCTCGGGCGCCGCGGCCTTCTCAGAGCGTTCCGGGAACGCTCTGAGAGCGTTCCGAAGGCTCTGGAACGGATTCATCCTCGTCCTCGCCCCGTCCGAAGGTATACCCACCCAACCAATGACGTAACGAAGGAAAGTAAGCAACCCTCAGTGCAAGCACTGATTGGGGAAAACTGTGCAACAAATACACGGGTGAAGGGCGGTCCCTTTTCAAACCGGGTGCGTCGCTGGGCAATTCCTTGAACTTTCTGACCCCACCTTGTCGCATTCCTTCTGGCTTGAAGGATGCAAGTCGTTTTTCCACAAAAACGCAGACACGGCCTGAATTGCGGGCACGCGGGGTCTTTGTCTTTCAACGAAGCACCTCACGAACGCAGTGAACAGAAATGCCTGTAATGCCCACTGAAGAGGGACCTGGGAACGGAGGGGAAATTACTGCAGCATCGTTAACGTCTTGAGTTTGCTCTCGTCCTCCTCCTCCTCCTCCTCCTCCTCCTCCTCCCTCCCTCCCTCCCTCCCTCCCTCCCTCCCTCCCCTCAATCCCTCCCCTCCCTCCCTCCGTCCTCCTCCCTCCCCCCTCCTCCCTCCTCCCCTCCCTCCTCCCTCCTCCCTCTTCCCTCCTCCCTCCTCCCTCCTCCCTCCCTCCTCCTCCCTCATCCCTCCTCCCTCTCCCCCCTCCCCCTCTTCCTTCTCGTCTTGCTCACACGAGGGGGCACCGAACCCCAGGCCGCCACGGCAGAGACAGAGAGGCGAACGACCCATACACGCGTTCCTCGTCTGAGCGACGAGAAGACATAGCAACCTCACGATTATCGAGATCTCGATGCTCGACCCTCGATGCTCGACCTTCGATGCCCGATGCTCGATGCAGAATGCTCGATAGGGCTTACGCGAGAAGACACAACAACCCTACGCAGCGGATCACGCGGGCCGCCAGCGTGGCACACCGCGTGGAGAGGAGGCGCCAACGCGCGACCTTACGCGGGAAGCATGCGCGCGAACATCCGCACAGCCGACCCCGTCTTCTTCCGTCGTTCCTCTGGCGATGTGTGGCCTCACGGCCGCGATTCAGGATGCCCGGGACGCGCCCACACGAACTGCACCAAACCTTGCGGATGAAACGGTCTGCCAAGAGCGGGGTGGAGGCTTGGAAATGGGCACCAGCACCGACACGGGGGGGGGCCTCCACCAGGGAAGGTGATCCTAGAATCCAGTGTTGGTGGCAATCTTTCGGCCACCTGGGAAGCCCGAGCATGACCACCATCACCGAGATCGGGATATTTTTCCCGCGGGGGAGACACATCGCCGATGTTGGTGTTGGTGTCAACCTCCAAGCCGCCGAGAGGGGGACAGCAACCCCAGCCTGCGTGCAGCGGCCGGCGCGAGGGCGGATCCAACAGCACACACACACACACACTTTTGGCAGTCGCGGCCTCGCGCGCAGCGACGAGGCGGAGGAAACACAAACACACACACACACACTCTCACACACACACACACAAACACACACACACACACACACACTCACACACACACAAACACACACACACACACACACACGCGCACACACGCGCACACACACACACATACATACACACAGTTCTTGGCGTCGCGGCCACGCGCGTGGCGGCGCGGCGTACTGCTACCGACACACACGCACACACTTCTTGTGGCGGTCGCGGCATCGCGCGCAGCGTCGGGGCGGAGCAAGGTCGGAGCCTGTGCGCGCGCGGCCGGGCCCTCAGGCGGGATCGTCTTGAATCGGAATCATGCCGGCAGCAGCAAGCCATCCGGGCGTGGATGGCGGGGGGGTGACACGCTGCCGGACGCTGAACTCCCAACCGGGGACGCAGCGCGAGAGTGCGGAGGAGGGGCATCACCATCCTGGCATGGATGTCTGAGAGGCGACGCGCCCCCCGACACTGGATCTCCCAAGCGGCAACGTAGCACCAGGACGTGGGACGGGAGACCACCTGCCGAGCGACGGTGGTGAGAGCGGTGAGAGTGGTGATGCGCTGCGCAGCGCAGGAGGACTGGAGACCCCTGCGGGCGAGACGACTCCGTGATGGGGGGGAGGGGGGGCCACAAACACACACACACACACACACACACACACACACACACACGCACGCACACACACACACACACACACACACACACACACACCGATCCTGGCCAGGCCCATCATTGACCCAGGATCAGAGGACACGCCACTTTGGCTGGGCCTCGAGGGCGCAGGTACCGCAGGCGGCGCACGCTGGTACCATTTCGTGACAGCGGCTCCCGAGTCACAGCTTGGCCCCGTCGGCCCACGGAAGGTCGGTCAGGGCGTCAGTACCGCCGTTCCGAGACTCTCGTCGAACTCATGCTGCTGATGGGGCCCCGAAAACAGCATTGGTATTGATGGAACTCAGGAAACGAACTCTATACACCGACGGATTTTCCGGCCCTGCACGGAAATGAGCAGAGGAAAACGGATCCTGGTGTATACGGGACCCTGGTGTACATGTTTCGCTGGTTCCCAGAAAACGGATAAAAAAGAATACTCCACACCACCCCGACGTCGTCCCCAACCCTCAAAAAGTCCTGGGATTGAAAAACAGCCCGCCACTGGGAATGTATACGTTCGAGTTTCCGAGGACCGTCGTCGTCGTCGTCGCCGCCCTCGCCGCCGACTTCGTCCCTAACCTCGTTGGCCTCGCCACCGCTGCCGCCCTCGCCTCCGCCGTCGTTTTTGTTACGCGCTCGGCCTCCACACCATCTGGGACAAGGTTTGGCCGGGATGTCGAAGCGAACGCAGCCAGAACCAAACTGGGATTCCCTACCTTGTCGTCGTCGTCGTCGTCGTCGTCGGCCGTCGTTTGAACACTTCCTGGACCGCGTTCTGACCAGCTCGCGGGGCGGAGCCGGCCGTGGCGACGGGGGGCCCTCCGTGAGGCTCTAGGGGACGAAGGACGTCAAAAACATGCTGGGTGTTAGCATCCCTCCGCTCGGCGTCGTTGCCGTCGGCGTCGTCGCCACCGCTGCGGCCGTCTTCGTCACGCCTCCTCCTCCTCCTCCTCCTCCTCCTCCTCCTCCTCCTCCTCCTCCTCCTCCTCCTCCCTCCTCCTCCTCCTCCTCCTCCTCCTCCTCCTCCTCTCCTCCTCCTCCTCCTCCTCCTCCTCCTCCTCCTCCTCCTCCTCCTCCTCCTCCTCCTCCTCCTCCTCCTCCTCCTCCTCCTCCTCCTCCACTACTACCGCTGCGGCCGTCTTTGTCACGCTTGTCACGTCTGGACCTGACCTGCAGCGCGTTCTGGCCCAGACTTCCAGGCGGGCCCCTCCGTGGCGACGAGGGGGTCCCCCAGAAGGGCCCAGCGAAGAAGAGGGGGAGGGGCCGTGTTTCCTTCTTCGCGGCGCGGGCCCAGCTGGAAGGACCTCTTGGGCCCCTCTCCCCTGGGCCAGCGTCTCTGCCCGAGGCCCTTCTCTGTGGCCCTGCAATCCGAAAGTGGACCCCCGGGATACCCGCCGGTCGGAAGGAGCACGCGGAAACATCAAGCGGGAAGGCGGATAAAATACACTGGCTCGAGCCCGCCCAAAGAGAAACCAAACAGCAAAAACACATCGATGTTCGCAGAAAAGAAAGCGCTTGAAGTAGACTGGGAGCTCGGGATCCAGAAGTACCTACTTTCAACGACGCGCGCGTACCAAACCTGCCGTGGCGATAGTTTTGAGACACCGCCGTCGTCGCCGCCGCCACCGTCGCCACCGCACTGGACGCCCCGTCCTCACGAAGGTCGGCGGCCCCTCGAGCTCGCTGAGGTCCAGCACGGGACAGTCGGTCGGGAGCTCCTGCTCGCCAGCCAGACGCCGCGGGGTCTCGCTCCTTGTCGTCCTCATCATTCTCCTCCTCCTCCTCCTCCTCCTCCTCCTCCTCCTCCTCCTCCTCCCTCCTCCTCCTCCTCCTCCTCCTCCTCCTCCTCCTCCTCCTCCTCCTCCTCCTCCTCCTCCTCCTGGACAAGGCGGCCAGGAGGAGGAGACTAGAAATGAGGTTGTAGGAAGGGAATAAAGGGGGAACGTCTGGGGCGAGTCTAATGCGGGCACGGTGCACTGATGTGAGAAGCAGGGCACTGGATAAGGAGCTACTGTTCGAGGAGGAGGAGGAGGAGGAGGAGGAGGAGGCCGCAGCAAAGCAGGAGGGTGCAGCAGAGGAGGGCGGCGCGCAGGTCGGGGAGGAGAGGGGGAGGAGGAGACCCCAGAGGCCCGGCGCGGAGGGCGGCGCCCAGGGCGTCCCCGCCGCGGGAGGAGGCGGGGCGGCCGGCTGCGGCCGCCCGCGCTCGCCGCGTGCAAAGGCCGCCCGAGAGGCACGCACTTCCCCGCTGTGAGATAGGCCTCCCCAGCCTCCTCGCTGTCGGCGCCCGCGGGATGTTGAGCACGGGGTCTGCCGCAGGCCCCCGTGCTCCCTGCGCCAGGTGGCGCCCGCCGCCGCGCACCTGCGAGCCCCCCCCCCCCATGTTCCGCCCTGGCGGGCGGGCGCCCGACCCAACTGCCGCTCGGCTGCTGCTCACTCGCTCGCTCCTCCTCTCTCTCTCCCCTCCAGATGTTCCCCCAAGGGTTTCCACAAAGACTCGGGGAGCACACTGCCCAATAGCCAGGCAAGGCTTCAGCTCAGCGTTCGGTCACATGGGCGTTTCCGCAATGTAGGGGGCGGCGGAGGCTCGCCGTAGGCGTCTTCGGCACTACAAATGAAGCTAAAGGTCCTCACCCCGACCCCCACCCCCAAAAAATTACCCTGGCGACGTACCCAACCCCTGCGCAATGCGGGGCAGGAGTAGCTTGGGAGACTTGGCGAGACGGCGGCGACGTGGCATGGACGCATATACTTCTGCGAGCGGCATTCGGGAGGTTCGCAGGTCCCCAATCAAAGGAAAAACGATGATTAACTAAGTGAACCCCTGA